CTCAGACCTAAAACTAGAAGACCACAGAATCGCAAGTGCCACGTGTCCCCTGCAGATTCTTCCTTCGCACCACGAGGAGACCACATAGACAACTTCCCTTTCTCTCTCCCGTTTTCCTCTCTCTGTATCTCTCTCCCACCTATACACACAATAGGTTTCACTTGGTCAATCGGCACGCCCCCTATCATTCTGGAAATAGTTATCTTTTTCACGCACAAAAATAAATTTCTAGAAACTTAGACAAATAATAAATAAGAATAGAAAGGAAAAATTTTGGCAACCGTATTTTAAATCATGTGTGCATGTAGAGTTGAAAAACAAAACCCTAGAAGGGGTTCTTTCTAAGAAACGGATTCGCCGCCGGATTGATCAGAGCCGTCGACTTGTTACGTCCACCTAATCTCTGTCTGATCTCACGCACCGCGGTCTTCTCCAGCTCCAACTGCTTTTTTTCTTCTTCTCTGTTATCGCAACACTTTTTATGCAGCGCTGGGCTTTTGCCCTGTTCAACTGTTTCTGCAAGTCAATGTAAAGAGTAGGAATACAAGACAAGCTTGTTTTCTTTTATTTATATTTGTTCTGTGTTGATAGTCGGATGTTTATTGCTTTTTTCTCCTTGATTATCCTGGGTTTGATCGCTTGACTTAAGCGAAGGAGCTGTTCTGGAATCTGAACTATTCGAGGATTGGATTGTAGAGCGAGTACAGAGTTGAGTCCGAGTTCTTGGCGCTCCGAAGCTTAAATTTTATAGCGTTTTAGTCGTCGAGGGTTTATAGGGTTTGTTAAATGAGCTGTTAATTGGGGGCTGAGAACATGTTGTCTGAATTGGGAAGTAGGCCGATGCTGGGCGGTAAAGAAGGATCTTTTGGGGATGACTTGGAGAAAGAAATTAGCTTGTTGCTCCGCGAGCGGCGACAAGACACCGATGAGCTTGAAAAGGAGTTAAATTTGTACAGAAGCGGGTCAGCTCCTCCCACTGTTGAGGGTTCACAAAGTGCAGTAGGTGGTTTGCTCAATCATGGCGTTGGCGGTGGTGCTGGTGCCTTTTCAGGGTTTGCCAACAGTAAGAACGGTAATGGGTTCACGTCTGAGGAAGAGCTTAGGTCTGATCCTGCTTATTTATCTTACTACTACTCGAATGTTAATTTGAACCCTAGGCTACCGCCTCCTCTGCTGTCTAAAGAGGATTGGAGATTCACGCAGAGATTACAGGGGGGAGTTTCGGCATTGGTGGGATTGGTGACAGAAGAAAAGTGAATAGGAATGATAGTGGTTGGTGGGGAAAGATCAATGTTTTCAATGCCTCCCGGGTTTAGTTCGAAGAAAGCGGGGAGTGAGATTGAGTCAGAGAAAGTCCATAGTCAGGCAGAGTGGGGTGGTGATGGACTGATAGGTTTGCCTGGTTTGGGACTTGGTGGTAAGCAGAAAAGCCTTGCTGAAATATTTCAGGTGATATTCTCTTTTATTCCTGCCTTGTATTTCCATGTGCTCCATTCATACTAATGCTATTGTTTTGTTGTTTTAACTCCTTATGTTAGCTGTGTATTGCGTTTATGCTCTTTCTATGGTTTTCTGTTTTCCATTTGACAATAGGATGGATTAGGGGGATTCATATTCCCATCAATTGTCTTGTGCCAATTGTCCAGTGTCCTTCCTGATTCTCTTGTCTTTAATGCATCATTAATTTTATCCTGGATCGCATAACTAATTTTATCCTGGTCGTTGTTGACATATGTCATGAGTATGAAGTATCTATTTATTTGCAGCTTTGGTTGGATTAGGAGAATATGTCTTCTGCTTTTAATTGTACTGTACTTCGTCATTTATGTTTGATTCAATTTACATGAAGTATTTATCTCATCTGGCACACCATGTTTGCCTAACGCGAGCATACCTGTGCTGTTATACCTTACAAAAATTGGACATATAGGGCTTGTTTCTTAGTAAGTACATTTTGTCAGGGTTAATTACTATCTCCTCAGAAAGTGCACCTGTTGGGTGTGCAGTGTCCTGCTTATTGTGCAGTCTGCCCCTTTCATCTTGCCCGAAGTGGGATCTGGGACACTCTCCCACATCGGTTTGGGTGAAAGGGTCAGATTGGTCTATAAGCGGGAGTACTACACAACCTATCAGTTGCATATTTTGGGAGATGATAATGGACCCATGACACTAGATGTCGTTTCGCTGCCAACCTAGCTCAGCTGATGTGACTTTTCCAGGATTAGGAGCTTGTGCCTAAAACCTTTGTGTTTTCATTGATGCTCATTCGTACACTTTCCTGAATTATTTCAATCAGAAGAATTTAATATGTGATCTATCAGTGTTATTACTTCACAAAATGATACACACTATAAAGAAACTTTACCCTCACCACCAGTGGATGGAAGAAGTTCATGCGTTTTTTTTTTCTTTTTTCCACCTAAAAAGCTGCATTGGGCACCCAATAATTGTTGTTGTTATCTACAGCCTCTTAGGAACTCACTGTGTAAGTACTCCTTCTGTGATAGAGCCCTCTATTAGGTGCAGTAGTCAGTGGGTTTTGCAGCTAGCTTTAGGGATCCCCTTGCAGTCCATTACCATGATCAGAGAATTTTAGAGTGAGCAATAAAGCCTGATTGAATTGCTTAGGGAGAGCTCCACTGAGAGATAATTGGGAGACTATAGAAAAGAATTTGGTGAAATAAATCTCTCGTTTACTTGACTAACGAGGCAGTTGACTTGATGCAGTGTAGAAAACTTTTTTATAGATTTTTGAAGTTCAATGTTTCAGTGACAGCTGTGTTATTAACATCTGAATTGGATGACATTATCTAGTGATGTTTTGAACTTGAGGTAATTTATGCTAGAGGGACTATAAAAGAGCCAAATTCACTACCTAATCAAAGCTTTTACCTTTTTGTTACTTTCCTCAAGGGCTTTGCATCCTATTTCCGAGGATCTGGATATTGTTTTTCATTTCTCAATTTTGTGCCATGTTCTTATCAAATTCCTATTAACCTGTAGAAAATGGTCTTATCTACTATTAACCCAAGCAAGAACAAGATAAAAAATAAATTGATGTTGATGTTCATTTATGTGACTTGGTTAATCATCAATCAGGTCTTCAATATGCACTATCTGCTCTAGCATTCTCAAGCTTGTTGACCTTTTGACAGATTTAACAAGTATCCTTGACAATTGTACATATAACTGATAACTCTCAAGAATGGGATTGTTAAAACTCTCATAAGTGATGACTGAGCTTAAATTCTTTTGTTTCTAAGAATGCTTTTTATAGAGTTATTCTGACATCCCTTCTACCAAAAAGATATAGTTTGGTTGATAGACGGCTGCATTGGAAGAAAATTTATATTTCTGTTTCCAATATTTTTTTCATGGTTCTTCTGGTCAAGGTAAAATTTAATGCTTGGTGCAGGATGATTTGGGCGTGCAACTCCTGCAACTGGGAATCCTTCCCGGCCTGCTAGCCGTACTGCTTTTGAAAATAGTGAGCCTTTATGTTCTGCTGAAGCTGAGCTGGCTCATTTGCACAGCGAATTGGCATCTAAGGATAGTATGCTATCCAATGTGAATATTCAGAAGTCAACTGCTGCTCAAAATGTAGGTCCACCTGCATCATATTCTTATGCTGCAGCTTTGGGGGCGTCTTTGTCTCGAAGCACCACCCCAGATCCTCAACTTATTGCTAGGGCTCCTAGTCCTTGCCTTGCTCCTATTGGTGGTGAAAGGGTAAGCATGTCTGAGAAGAGGAGTACTAATAGCCCAAATTCATTAACGGTGTCTCAACTACCATGACTGATGCTGGAGATTTGATTACTCCCTTGTCTGGATTGAAGCTTTCAAATGATATAATAGATGAAGGGGACCATTTATCTACACAGATTGAACAGGAGGTTGATGATCACAAGAATTATCTTTTCAACTTGCAAACAAGTGAGAATAATCCAAAGCAGCACCCATATATGAAGAAATCTGAACCTGGGCATCTTAATATGCCTTTTAGTGGTCACTCAGCCAAAATTTCATACTCAGATTCAAGCAGGAGCAATGGGGCTGGATTAGACCTTGGCCACTCTTCATTGGTTTCTGATAGCAAGTTGACATGCATAGGACCACGGCTGCTCCAAGTAAGTCATACTTAAAAGGATCTACTACTACACGTAACGGCAAAGGAAGTTTACCTTCTCATTATGCACACATGGATACTGCTAATTCATCACAGTTGAACTATGGTTTGGGTGGTTTTTCCGTAAATGCAGCAATACCGTCCATGATGGCTGGGAATATAGGTACCACTAATCTTCCACCTTTATACGAAAATGTTGCTGCAGCATCTGGTATGGCTCTCCCTGGAATGGACTCGAGAGTTTTAGCTGGAAGTTTACCTTCTGGGTCAGGTCTAAATCTTGCAGCATCAGAGTCACAGAATCCAAACAGAAGTGGGAACCAGATGGCAGGTGGTGCTCTTCAGGCTTCTCTTCTAGATCCAATGTATCTGCAGTACTTGAGAACAGCTGAATATGCTTCAGCTCTTAATGATCCCTCTTTGGAGCGGAATTACTTGGGAAATGCATATGTTGATTTGCTTCAGAAAGCTTACCTTGGAGCTTTGCTGTCACCTCAGAGATCACAGTATGGTGTTCCAATGGGCATGAAGTCTGGAGGTCCTAATCCCCATGGTTACTATGGCAACCCTGCATATGGTGTTGGTTTGTCATATCCTGGAAGTCCCTTGGCTAATCAAGTCATTCCAAATTCTCCTGCCGGATCTGGTAGTCCTATAAGGCATGTTGACCCCAATATGCGATTTCCTTCCATGATGAGAAAACTTAGCTGATGGTGTGATGGGACCATGGCACTTGCAGGCTGGTAGTAGTATGGAAGATAGCTTTGCATCCTGCTTATTGGAAGAGTTTAAGAACAATAAAACAAAATGTTTTGAACTTTCAGAAATTTGCAGGTCATGTTGTTGAGTTCAGGTACAGACCATAATTCTTGAGCTTCAATATTGACAAAAATTTCTTGGTTTATGATCTCTGATCAGATATAATTATGAACAGTGCTGATCAATATGGGAGCCGATTCATTCAACAAAAGCTGGAGTCTGCAACTACAGAGGAGAAGAACATGGTTTTTGAAGAAATCATTCCCCAAGCTCTGACTTTGATGACTGATGTTTTTGGAAATTATGTGATTCAAAAGGTTCTTAAATAGTAACCTAATTTTTTCATAGAAAGTATAGTTTATTTACATGTATATGCAGAATGCTGCTTCAGTTTATCCTCCTCTGTGGCCTTAATAAGTGATTCTTGGTATTTAATTTCAGTTTTTTGAGCATGGGATGCCATCTCAGAGAAGAGAACTTGCATGCAAGCTTTTTGGACATGTGTTAACACTTAGCCTTCAGATGTATGGATGTAGGTGATCCAGAAGGTAACATCAATCATCATCATCATCATCAATCTACTTTTTTTCAATCCATGGGAGGGGGCAAAGCCCTACAATGTGAATGCCCAACAACTGTAGCTAGGGGCCACGTCGTACCAAATGCAGCTTGAATTGGTAGCTTGGTACAGTGCCCTATTTGTTTTCTTTATCTATATTCCTTCCTCTAATGGGGTGAAGAAATAGGGGCATAATTTTTTAGCACTATTTTTTTTTCCTCCCAAAATAATGCATCGATGTAAGTAGCTTTGACCTTGGTGGACCTTGAATTTGATCTAAGTATTTTACATATTTCTTTCTTTCCATTGTTTCTATAGAAAGTTTTGACATTTTATTTATTATTGAAGTGGAAGAAACATGATTAAGAAACAGAAATCCCATATCTCCATGGTAGCAAATGTTCTGAACTAATTGCACTAAAATGGTCAAACTCTCTCCTCTCCCTCCTGACTACAGTCGCAAATTTTAACACAGGAGAATTATTATCTTTCCTCCCAAAAAAGTGAAACGAATTAGAGGTTCAGGGTAGAAGTTAAACAATATTTCCAAATTCAGAGGAAAAATTTATAACAAAAAAGGAAAAAGAAAAAAAGCTTAGAAGAAGAAGAGGTAGAATTGCTAGTAATATTATCTAGGATGATATTCTTTTAGTAGTGCAATTAATAATTTACTTAGGCTGTTGTTCTGCATGTTGCACTGCAGTTCTTTTTCATGTGTTGGTTCATGTTTATTATATTTTGGCATTACGTTGATTATGATGAGCCAATTTGCATCCAAGCATGAAGACTTGTTTTCTAATGTTTGTGTTTACCTTTTTCTTTCTATGCTTTCAGAAACCTTGTAAATTGATTGTGACAAAACTTATTTGATAGACTATATGAATTCTCAGAAATCTAATACCTGCAAAGGTTAAAGAAAAGAAAATTTCCTCCATTCCAGGTACAAATTATCTTTTGTTTTAAGAAAAAATTATCTGAAGGAATATTTTCAGTTCAATTTATTCCCTGGATGCAAATGTTGCTTAGTGCAACAGTAATGTTGCAATTTACAGGTGTTCTTTGCCCTTTTTCTTTGGGGTGAAACCATTTCCATGTAACTAGCTAGGAATGTCCAATCATTATAGTTAAGTCTTGTTCAACTCTCTTATTTTTCATATTTATTTTTACTTTGTGTACTGTGGAAATGATACATGGCCCTAATAGATATTTAATAATATTTTATGGCTTAACTGCTCCATTAATGTATTTTACAATGTACTTCCATACACTTGGATGTGCTTCTGCCACCATTGTTGACATTTTTCATGAAAAAATTTACATGTTTAAATGGAAGATAGGACGCTCTATTTCTTCCTGCTGTGAGGAATATAGCAGGACAGGAAAGTTCAATTCCTTAACTAGCTTACTGACTGAAATAAAACATGGATGTTGAGTGCAAGATAAGGTTACAAGTTTTACACTATCTGATTGTTCTTCATCAATGGTGGAATAAATTTTCCTGTCTTTGAGACATGGGATTGGAATTCTATGATTTATTTGGATTTGTTTTGTAACTTCAGAATATATAATGAAATCTTATGCTAAAATGTGTTTGGACTAGAGCCTTTAATGTTTTGGTTCTTTTTTCTTTTAGTTTCTAGAAGCATGGCAAATGGAAAATCAAAAACAATACTTGGAAACAAAATGGAACTATAACATCTTCCTTATTTTCCACTTCGTCTTTAACACCAGGCGCTTACCCTCGTGGTTGGTGGATTGTTAGCTTAAAATGTAAATATCCTTGCACCTATATTTTTTATTTGCTTGATTATCAATTTTATGCATATATGAAACATTATTGGTAATGGCTGGATTTATTGAATTTCAGTTGTTCTGAAGATACTGTTGTTAATTGGAATAAGATTTGTCAGTTCCTCCAATAATTTCATTTGCTTTTACATTCAGGCAATAGAAGTGGTTGATCTGGACCAAAAGATAAAAATGGTGGAAGAACTTGATGGTCACGTCATGCGCTGTGTGCGTGATCAGAATGGAAACCATGTCATTCAGAAGTGTATCGAATGTGTTCCTGAAGAACACATTCAGTTCATTGTTTCAACATTTTTTGATCAAGTTGTGAACCTTTCCACCCATCCATATGGGTGTCGTGTGATTCAGGTGCAGCACTTGTTAATTATTTCTTATTCTCTTGTGCATTGAGAATCTGGATGTGTTTATTAGATGGAAAATGACTTTTTCTTTTTCTGAATGGGAACAGAGAATATTGGAGCACTGCAAGGACCCAACGACTCAGAGTAAAGTGATGGATGAAATTTTAGGATCTGTTAGCATGTTAGCTCAAGATCAATATGGCAACTATGTTGTTCAGGTTTGTAACCTAGTTTTGGAAGATTCCAAACATGGACCATATGAAGCTAGATGATATGAAGCTAAGAAAAATTAAGTGTTTGACTTATTTAGTTGAATTTTATTTACTTGCTGGATTGTGGAGTCAATTTTCTGTTGCCTAAAGAAATTGCACCATTGTAGAACAACACCTGGCAAGTTTTTACCAGATGTTGATGATAAAAGAGCTGATGAAAGCTTAGGCTCTGTTGTGTCCCACATTCAGATACACTGAGGCACCTGATACACAACTTCCTTTCAGCCTTTAATTAACACTATACTTTTAGTGACGAAGCCAATTTCAAGTCAGCTTGTCTGGTTGATTGTATGTCATCTGGTAAACACGATTGCTAAACTTAATAGGAATGAGCTTAGGATCCTCAATGGGGACTAGTTCTTCTAGTTGGGACTAGTTGCCCCACATATTTCAATGTTCTTGGTTTTATTATGATCTCTGGACCTTGTTCAATTGCTTTTACAATGACTTTAACATGTTCCTATTCAGTACAAGATAGATGGAATGGTTTTTTTGTGGTTGTATCTTCCATTAATATCATGCTTGGACTTTACAACAGCATGTATTGGAGCATGGGAAGCCACATGAGCGTTCTATAATAATTAAGGAATTAGCTGGGAAGATAGTTCAAATGAGCCAGCAGAAATTCGCTTCCAATGTTGTGGAGAAGTGTTTAACATTTGGTGATCCTTCTGAACGTCAACTCCTAGTTAATGAAATGCTTGGCTCTACTGATGAGAATGAGCCTCTTCAGGTTGGTAATCTCTGTTTGCTTTCTGTAACTGTGAAATGGAAAGCCTTGCCTGAAGTGGCTTATCTTGTAATGTTTACCTTTATTTCCTTGTTTATATCATTTAGATTTTCAGAATTCATTTGTGCTGAAGATTGAACTACTGAGGTTGCAGGGGATGCGTATCATGTCACAATAGTCCTCTCTCTCTAAACCGCAGGACTAAGGGAAAGAAGAGAGAGAGAGAAACTGGAAGAAAGGGGAACGAGATAGAACTGGAGAAAGAGGAAGAAACAGAGAACTGATAAGAGGAAATAAGAGGAGGACAAACCAATAACCATATTGGAGAAACTTTTGTTTTAATTCATAATCTAAAACTTTTAATTCAATTGTTCCAAAGCAATAATATATTGGTCATAACATATAGTCCCATGTACCTGATTGCCTATTCTTAAGGTCCCCAAGCTACCCAATTTAAGGTTAAAAATATCTGAAAATAGTGGAAATCCTAAGATTTTTTGGGTCCTATGGCCCTTCACAAAGAACTGGTTTTATGTTGAGCCAAGTGGAGAAGTTCGATATGGAGGAATTTGATTTCTACTTTTTTTTGCATGCTACTACAGATCTCTTTTGGGTATTATTCCTCTGCCACAGGCAATGATGAAAGATCATTTTGCCAATTATGTTGTACAAAAAGTGCTGGAAACTTGTGATGATCAGCAACGTGAGCTAATTCTGTCACGTATTAAGGTTCATCTAAATGCACTGAAGAAATATACTTATGGGAAGCACATTGTTGCTCGTGTAGAGAAGCTTGTTGCAGCTGGAGGTATGTAACTCTCACACTTTAGTTCACCCATGTATATACACATCATCTTTGCATTAGTGAGTTATGACTTTTCTTTTCCTTTTCTTCTTTTCTGTTTCCTCATTTTGCCTCTTCTTTTACCTGATATTTACACAATCACCACGTGCAAGTGTTTTGAAGTCATCATTAACGTCTGTATCTGTGATTTGATTTCCTAACAGAAAAAACTTTTGGGTATCCCAGAGTAGGCATTTGCACCCCATCCTGATCTATTTGAATGACCATTTCTGTTTGAGTTTATTTAGTATCTATGAATTTTCTTTTCTTTTCTTTTCTTTTTCAAAAAAAAAAGGAGGAAGAATCTATTATTGTGATTACAATAAAATGATCCTTGATCTTGATGTCGTCACGCATTTATTTGGGAACTGACTGACTGACTGTTAACTTCTCAGAGAGGAGAATCGCGGCTCAAGCTTCACATCCTGCTTAGGCCATAGGAAAGACAGTTATTGTACAGCTAACTGAGGCTAGTTTGAGCTACCTCTATCTATCTCCCTTTTTTTTTTTTTTACTCTACTAGTATCTAGTGCTGCAGCTCTAGCTCTCCGTGCACGAGAGCTGATTAGAAATAAATTTGTTGGTTGTAATAGAAAACTGTACATTGTGTAGCGTAAGGTTTATACATAGAATCAATCCAAGCGTGCAAGCTGGGGCTTAGTTGCCCTCTGCTCCTGCGGAGAACAAGACAGACATCGACGACACAAGCTTTTTATGGGGTGTAAAGGCGAAGACCGCAGCCAGGATGTTTTTAATATTTTCGACGTGACTGTAAAAATCTTTCATGCGGAGAGTTTATATTTAGGTTGAGACTGGAATTTTCCGGTTATATAAATATGGGACAATTTTCTCTGCGATGCCTGCTATGGTATATTGTACGTCGTTAGAATCTATTCATTTGTGATGCTGTGAACATGGACCGTAGGATATAGAGGAGAAACCAGAGGGGAAGGAATGATACCAACAAGAATGAGGAAATTACTGACCGGGAAACAAAAATTACTACCCATTTCCTTCTTTTCAATCAGTAACTATAAGGCTATTCCTGAATTCAGTCTCTCGTGTTGAACTGCGTTTTCCTGTAGTTGAGCTTTGAAGCTTCCCCCTCCCCCCACCCCCTAAAGTTAATAAATTTTTTAGCTTTTCGCTAATAATGAATTTTTAAAAATAAAAATTAGATTATACGTTAATCTGAAAAAATAAAAAAATATCTTTCAGCCAAACCTATTGGGAAGCTGCACTAGGCGGTGGTTGACTTCCCTGTTCCGGAGGAGGCCGGTCGGCTCTTATTTGTTAATTTGATTCTTTTGACAATCAGCCGAGTGAGTGAACTTGCATAATCATAATCATAGGTCAGGTTTTACATCAAGCTAGAAACGTCTTTTCTACAGGCTCAATTCAATGGGCAATTTTTTATTTTTTTTTTAAAATAGCTCGAAATTTCATGACAATTACAATTTTTACAAATTTTGGTGCCAGTAGTCCCATGGCTGCACACAAAATCATTGTTTTTCACGTTATCCGATGATTTAAACCTAGAAAACACTAAACATTCATGTTTACTAATTCAATTCTCGTTAAATAAAACCAAAAATTAAAGTAACTTTTTTCACTATTATTTTGAATTTAGAGCATTTTATTCGGGAATTGGAATAGGTTAAATTTGTATCAGTTAAAGTAATTTGTTATTAAAATAAATAATGAAATCAAAAAAAATTGAAACCGACGTCATTACGTTCCGAGTCGGCGCCATAGAAGAAGCATCGAGAGCCTAACTCTCCTATCTGATTGAAGTGACGTTACTCGCGTCCCGCACCATCCGATCTACCGCTTCTCGTCCAATCCGCGTGAAGTTTATGATCGCCTTGACCTAGAGGTGTATCCTCTGCATCCCAACCCTCTCAAGATTCCTGATCTCGGCTTCCGCACCCTCCAATTTCCTTACAAAACCACACACAACCAACTCCGGGATCATCCAACGCTCCAAAAAACAAAAGCAGAGAACCAGGTTGCCGCTCTGCCCCCTCAACTGTCTACGGCTCGCCCTACAGCTGTCCGCCATTTTTTCCCCTATCCATTGGTCCACATGGATACTTCTCTCGGGCATTTTCTATTGCCCAAGAGCCAAACGGAAAAGGCCCCGCCTAATTTACAGAAAAGCCCTTTGCGCTTGCCGAACTATCCTGGGTAGTCTAGTAACTTCACGTATGACAATGGCAGGTGGCAGTTATGGGAGGCGAGTTGGTAAGTTAATATACGGCGGCGAGCGTAGGGTAGGGGAAAAATAGAGAGGGGAAGATATTTAGAGGATCTAAAATATCTGGCTAAGAAGTCCACGTTGGCAATTGGGAGTACCGACCTGGAATCAGATATTGCACTTTTTCAGAACTTTACCTTGTTAAATTGCGGCTAGAGGGCTATTTTATTTACTCTTTTACCCCCCCTTCCCCCCAAGCTTTTCTCTCTCCTCTGTTTCTATATTTCTCTCTGCGCGAATCTTACGAAGACCTGCAAAATATCTCCGAACTGCGAGTCTCCCTGTTTCTGACTACCTCTTCTCACTCCACAATTCTCTCTAACTTGTGATCTGGAATGAAGAAGTTGTGATGAACCGGAGGGGGGAAACCTAGTGGTTGGATGCGATCGTTGAACTGGAGGGGCGAGGATGGGGGAAGAAGTGAAGATGAGCGAATACAATGGGGGGCACGACGGCAGCGGCGGAGACGACGATCGAGTGTTGGAGTGGGAGGCCGGATTGCCGAGCGAGGGCGATCTGACTCCGTTGTCGCAGCCGCTGATACCGCCTGAGCTCGCGTCGGCGTTCAGCATATCGCCGGAGCCCAGCCGGAGCATGATGGATGTGAATCGGGCGTCGCACAACACGCTTTCGAATATCCGAGGGCAGTTTCAGGCGTTGTCATCGTCGGATAATTTCAATTTTAAGTCGTTTAATGAAGAGAGGGGGAAGGATGGATTGGTCGTAGAAGGGGACGACGCGGATCTGACTAGGGACGGGTCGGACTCGAGAAATAAGGGGAGGAGGATTGATAGTGGTACCGAGGAGGCGGACTCTGCTATGCGAACGGAGAACGGAAACGACGATCCTTCAGCGAGGACGCTGAAGAGGCCGCGATTGGTCTGGACGCCTCAGCTGCACAAGCGGTTTGTGGATGTTGTTGCGTATTTGGGGATTAAAAACGCGGTGCCGAAGACGATTATGCAGTTGATGAACGTCGAAGGCTTGACGCGCGAGAACGTGGCGAGTCACCTGCAGAAGTATCGACTGTACTTGAAAAGGATGCAGGGGTTGTCGAATGAGGGTCCGTCGTCTTCGGATCATCTCTTCGCGTCTACCCCTGTGCCGCAGAGCCTACATGAGTCCGGAGGGAGTGTACACGGGCATGGGAACGGACACGTGCAGATGCCGATTCCAATTCCTTACCCGCCGCAGATGATGCATATGCCAGTTATGGGTATGCCTCATGGCCAGGGCAATATGAGCATGCCTATTGGTAACCCTGCTCCTCCTGGTGCTTTTTATGGATTCGAGTCGCATCCCTACAGTATGGTGCAGCAGAGAGACTGGTCTGGGAACAAGTCCGGCTCGGTTGCCTCTTATCAACATATTACTCCTAACGATAAATAACAATACCTTTGACACAGGTGAGATTGTATTTGAGCTTACCATTTAATAATGGTTGATTATCATCGGTAAGCTATATTCCTTGTTGCTTTGTATCTGCTGATACAGATTCATAATACAGGAATTAATATTGGACTCGAATGCGTTGTAATGTGACAGTGATTCACAACTGGGGCATTATATAGGTTATTTACTGAAAATGAGTATTGGAGTACTAGTGAATTGTTGTTGAAACTTTAATCGGTAGGTATTATGTTTCGAGATTAAATGTGAGAAATCTGCAGTTACCATTTATTATTTGAAGTAACATGTCTCCAGAGAGATACGTGTTGCCTTCCTCGAACGAATGTGCTGCCTCGTGAATCGTGGATTCGTTTGATTAGGGAACTGGTTCCTGAACCAAGATTTTGATCTATGCTTGGTTGACAGTTAATGTGCAACTCTACTCATTAATTCGTTCGAGCATCAGGTCATGTAGGGTCTAGCCATGTCCATTTTCTTCATCGTTTTTCTTTTCTAGCAAGTGCTTGAATATGGTGGATTTCGGTCTTAAACTTATTTATCATGTTTTATCTATTGAAGCTTCTTTTCCAACTATTAAATGCTTTTCTTTTTTCTCTCAGGTTTGAAGTTTAGAAAGAGGAATTAGAACTTTGAAAAATATTCAATAGTCCAATGGGTATTCATTTATTGCCTAAAAGGCTCCACCTTTTTGTAGAGCTGCCCAATGACATAACATGTTCAAACTTTTTCCACGCCATTGGTGAAAATGGATCTCTACAATTAGTATGCAATAATAGCTGTATTTATTGGTGAATGAGACATATGTCCTGCTGTTCCGTAACTCAGGATGGGCCCAAATGTTTTGTGTGAACATGTTTCTGAGTGCATCTGTGCTGGAATACAGAAAAAGCCTCTGCTTGTGTGATGCAAGCAAGCATGGAAGGAGTAGAAAAGCTATAAAGGAAATAAAACAGGAGTTGTATTTGGGGTGTTGATACAATGCATATATAGACGTTCCTCTCCTGGAAGGTTATGATAAGTTTTTGATTTACCTTGAGTCCATGACAAGAGTATTGTCTGCAGTACTGTCTCAAGGGTATTTTTATTTGGAATATAAAGGTTTTCCTTTTGTAGTTGTTTTAAGTTGAATATGCCTAACACCATTTTAACAATTTACTCCAATTAAATGGACATAGCAGGATAACGTATACCAATTGGCTCACATTACCTTTTAGATCCTAACAGCTTCATATTTGCAAACCGTCTCTTCCCCTCTCTTCTATATCCCTGGCTTTGCAATATCTAACTTGGGATTTTATTATTTTGTCTTGGGTGCCCCTTTTCGATTACTGGTGCACTAAATTTGGTTAATAAATATACTGTGATTTGTTCTTATGCATAACCAGCTTACATGCCACTGCATTCTGGTTCCCAGCTTATGGCAGGTAAGTTTGTCTTGTTTCTGCTGCAACATGATTTACATACAAAGCAGCTCTAGTTTGTCTTGACTTTTTTGTACGTGAATGGAAGCCAGTGCATATACCTCTCATTTACTTTGCCAATTTTCATGCTTGTTTTTGCTTGTTAGACGTTCTTGATTATTCGGATTCCTTGTAAAATTTTAGTTAAGAACTTATGGTTTAGATAGTGCGACATTGTTTTCATGCTCTTCTTCTTTCTATTGAGGAAATATTCAAGGACTGATGTATATGGCCAGCTATATTTCAGAAGCTTTTCCTTTGAGTTCCTTTTGGATTTTTGCTGATAGAATGAGTTGAGTTGTAATTTACTAAATTCCTGGGTGGGACATATTACGTGTTTTGCATGCTTCAAGATTTCTGTTCTTTTCTTACTATCTCAGGTGGTCTGCTAATTATCTATCAATCTTTTCTTTTAAATATTTTTTTTATTGGATATTAGTTTGTTTATTACCAAGTTTGTATGTGTCATTTGATGACAATCAGCTGGTAAGTACAAGTTAATTGAGATTTCCGACATGTACCAATAAACTTGGCAAGGTTGCTTTATTGAGCTACCCATGGCTCAGTTGGGTTCGCTTTGTTTGTTAAACATTTTTGAATGCTGCATTAAATGGACAAGGTCATTAAGGTCCTACCAGCCTAGGAATATAAAGGAAGAAAACCAAATGGAATTGGAATTGAAACCGTGGCCGCTTTCTTTCACTTTGTTGAATGGAGTTTTCATCATTCCCCTTCCCTTCCTCTTTGGAATGGTGGATTTATTCACTATGGTGTTGCTCACCCCGGCATCCCTTAAACTCATGAATATAGTGGGCAGCCTCGTTCGTTTTACTTCGTTGCCATGAAATTTTGTGTTCTCGTGCACAAAGTTGGAGCCGAGCATCGGTGACGGATTCCTATAGATAGAGGCAGTGGGATTTAATAAATAAAGGGCGCCCATGTTTAATTAGAATAATTATTCTCGCTGAATCAGAATAATAATTTTTGCTCTTTTACCCAAAATTACGAAATTTATTTACACTTCATTTGGAAATTTAGAAGCGAAGAAAAAAAAATATAAGAAAGGAAAAGATAGTGGGTTTTTTCTGATGAATAAAAATGAAAATATTGCTTGGATAATTGGAAAAAAAATTGGAGAATATTGCCATTTATTTGAGTAATTTTAATATTCTAAAATTAGAAGTGAAAAGTAACCTTCTAATTTAAATGATATTTAGAGAATTTTCACTGGTGCAACATTTGAATGGAAAGTAAAGTGCGTGCGGTGTAAAAAACAAAAAGAAAAAAAAAATTAAACATTTAGGAATTATCTGCAACCGTTACGGAGTTGTAACAAATTTCCCTTTTTCTTTTGTTTTTAACGGGAGGCATAAATTAAATTTATAACTGTAATAACTGTAGTAAACCTTGTTTTAATCAATAAGTAAACCAGTTAAGATCAAGTAAATTTACCCGCATTTGTTGAATATAATTAATTCAAGTGTGTTAGCATGAATAAGCAGATTTAGGGGTGATAAACAGTAATTAGTGTAGAATTTTTTAAACTAAGATTGTATATTCTATAATCCAAACTTAAAATTTTAAATGATGTGTAAATATGCCAAGATGTCATATTATTTATTTAATTTTTAAAATCAAATAATTTTATATAATTCAAATAATTATGTCTCTTCGCCTTTCACCGCGGTTAATTGACTCTACCCATATGAGGTATGGGTATTTTGGTAAAAACACTCGGAACCCGAATGTCCCTTATCTTTGGCTTCAACCGTTGATCCCTGGACGGATTTGTCCACGGCAACAACAATCGCGTTCTGATGGAGTCTGTTGTTGCGAGATTCTGACTATTACTTCATCAACATGCACGGTTTGCTCTGTCCACGATCAAACTCGTCTCCGTCTCGGTTATCGGAAACCACTTGTGGAATTCTCGGAAACGAGCCAAGTCTTCCATTTCCATCTGCAGAGTAGACTGCGGCTGCAATTCCAATTTTGTCGTATATGCGGCACCGGTTTTCTCCAGAGGTTCCGGAAATTTCGATACGAGGAGACGTAATCGGTGTATGTGTTGAAATCGAGTCGCGGAGAGTCTCCCTACGAAGTATTAGGAGTTTCCCCTACTGCGACTCCTAATGAGATCAAGAAAGCTTATAGGAGATTGGCTCTCAAGTACCATCCTGATGTCAACAAAGAGGTATATATTACTTGATTTGATACGCAATGACATGTATGTTTGCTTTGTTTACCTTTTAATAATAGCCTTGATATACATCATTGGCTGTATTGAAGCTTCAATTCATGTTTTGTGGCCGTTATCTAGTTTCAACTAAATCTTTTCCAATTTTTTTTGGTAAAAAAAATTCAAGCGCCAATCTGATCGTGTTATTAAAAGTGAACGGATATTGCGAATTTCATAGCAACGAAAGTTCTTCACCAAAAGCTGTTAATTTTTAGCACGTCACTCCTTTTGCCTTTACAGTTCCGTCTACCTGTATGGCTTGTTTTTTCATCTTGAACAGGGGAGATGATTGACAAGCCGTCTAGAGATGGCCTGCTTGAACACGGTTTGGCACAGGTCTTTTAAGTTGTTTTTGTTAATACTTGGACTCTTAGAGTGTCAGTTAAGTTGGAGGGTTCATAGATTGGTATGGTGGCTCTGATCAGTCATTTTGTCTAGCTAAAAGATTCATCTGTACTATGGTGGCTGTAGTAATGGAGAAAAATCATTCCAAGCCTCAGGACAATGATGGCATTGTCCGGGAGCCTTGCTTGAGATTCCACGTGATTTAACCATTTCATGAATACAACTTGGTACACATGGTAGCCCGTTGGCACTTTGCCAATATTATACACATTTACAATCATGAAAAGAATGAACTTGTGTAGATTTTGAGTTATTCTCTTGTTTTTCTGCCCAGATACTTGAAAACATTTATAGTTCTACATCTTGTAAACTAGGACCGGAAATTTGCTAATTAACATTTGCGTTTGAGTAAAATAATGCTTTTATGATGAGTGTCTTAGGTCATGTATGGAATCCTTCTCTGCTTTTCTATGATGAAGTCTCATTCTATGTTAAGAATAAAGCTGCCATGTTATGCCATTGATCAAACATTCTCCTTTTTCTTCCTGTCTCCTACATCAATAACTCTTATGTTTCTAGCATTGAAAGAGAAAGAAAATTCTTAAAAAAGAAGTTATGACTTATGAAGGTATCCACTTGAGTTTCAAACTGGAGATTGGATTATCCGCTAGAAACAATAACTGCAACAATCTTGACTTGCTTCAAGTAAGTGACATCCTTAAAGGCACTCCTTATGAGTAGGAGTATCCTCATGTGGCCATGCCTTAAGTGCCTGTGGGCCTCCTCGTGAGAGAATGAATCTCATTAATTGATTGCTAACTTTATTATTATAATCATTTATGAGTACCCCCCCGCCTTTTGGCGCTTGGTAAAAGTGTAGGTACTCTCTCTCTGAGCTGCCTGTGCTGAAATAATTACAAATGCTCACTTTGTTCTCTTTCAGGTCTTTGATAATAGAAAATTTTTGGTTTTCAACTTTCTGATATAGGAAGTTGTCTTCTTCTCCCAAATGCCATCATCATTGGTCATATGGAAATCATAAATATGCTGCAATGATCCAATGCAATGGGACTTCACTGTTTGTCACATCTGTTTCTCCATTCTCCTATAATGAATCTGTGACTGTATGCATTATAAATTTTACTCCTTTCACCCTGTTTATTTTAGATTTGAACATTTTACATCTATCCATTAGGCAGATCTCAGGAGAAGTTTTTGAGGATAAAGCATGCATACAATACACTGCTGAAGTCTGAATCTCGAAGACGATATGCTTCTGGAGATCGTGCATCTGATTATTCAACCACGGGAAGAAACCAAACTAGGAATACTCAAGATGAAGAAGAGTTCTAAGGCTTAGGTAAAGAAATATCTTCTTGTACAAGCTTTTGGGTCCCCTTTTCATATTTATTATATAGCTTTATTTGTGAAGCTTTATATTTTCAATGTTTATTGCCTGTTGGGAGGGTGTCAAACTTCAGCTTCCCAGAAGTGGTACCTGCCTCAGTACCAAAAAAGGGGCTTCTCTTGAATCATGTTAATATGAGGCTTAAGTGTAAGAGACTTAATTAACTGAATAGTTTACCCGTGCCAAAAATTGAATTCCAAGTATGAACCAATTGCTTTTGGTAGTGTTCATGGTCTCTGTACCATTCTTTCTGTCACAGGAGGTGACGTGGTTTACAATCATGGACCACCCTTCAATTGGTAATTACTCAAATGGCGGCGCCTAGTGCATTCCCATTAATCTTCTCTTCACTTCACTTATTGATATTTTTGCTTTACTGAGCAAAAGTTTCTTTTAGCAGCCATCTGAGTGTACTATTAAGCCAAGGATACTCTTTTCATTTAAGTAACCCTAAACATACTGCCTCATTTGTTTGACTGTATTCTAATTAATCAAGCTTACGTGCATTCATATCCTCTAAACTTTCAAGAAAAGATTTACCAGCCCACTCAGTAAATTTTTACCCTTTACAAGGTGAAAGATTTTTTTCTCTATGCATTCTTATATAAAAACCTTTATGCTGCAGGTAACTTTTTGAGGGATGTTCAAATAACAATAGGTAGAATTTTGACAGCGCAAGAGCCATAAAGTTAATTTTTGGGTCATTCCAATATCACACTCGCATTTTGATCTCTCTTAACTTGCTTATAGAAGAGCCATCTTCTTATGCACCGAATTTTGGTTTTTGGAGTTGCAGAAGACTTCTTTAGGGATCTACAAGAAGAATTCAAGAACTGGGAGGCAAGTGCTGCTTCACAAGGAAAGCCAAAGAGCTTGTGGGAGGAATTGGCGGTGAGAACTAATTATTCACAAAATTCATTCAGACTCTACAGAATTTGTGCAATTAATTCCTAGTCTGTTGATTTTTGGTATTGGTAAGCTGAAGATGTTTTTTAACATATGAAATATGCTGACAGGACATTGGGGAAGAATTTGTTGAATTCTTAGAGAAAGAGCTGAACATCACCGATGCTGAGGTTGAAACAGAAAAAGATAATGATTGTGCATTTAAAAGTTGTGAAAGTGAGGAAAGGGCAAGTGGTAGTCAAACTGGAGCTGCGAAGGCAAGCAATATTGAGGAAGACATTGATGAGATTGAAGCCACCCTTGCTCAATTGAAGAAGGAACTGGCCTATGAAAGGAAATGTTCTTCAAGTTTGTTGTTGGTTGAGAGATAGCAAAACAGAAAAAAGACTCACTTCTTCACAATCTGGCAAGAAAAGAAATGAACGGATATATAACATTTTATTGGACATTTTAAATTCCGTTTCTCCAAGCCTTTGCCAATATTCTTCAGAGTGCATTTGAAAAGTATTTTGTGCTGCACCAAGGGGTCAAATCCCCTTTTCCCTCCCACAGGTTTTTCAAACTGGCAACCTGGAAGGAGAAAAAGTTGGAAGCTAGGTATTTATAGCCTCTTTAGATCGGGTTATACATCTGTTGCCCATTTAAACAGGGAGCACCCTGTGAAATTGTATTAGAAACATATATTTTTGCGATTTTGAAGTAATTTTACAAGTTGATTTAACTAGTCTCTGTAGTTTGAATTTATGGAATTGTCAAATGACAATGATTGCGTATGCTTTAGGTAATCGGGATTACGACTTTTGTAGTGACAAACTCAGATCTTCAATCTTGTGCATTTGACCCCCTTGTACTTCCCTCTTCCAGCACAGATGAAAAAGGCTATCCGAGAGTGAGAATCCAAGCGAAGCATCTATCTTATAGCGACCCTGCCATTTTGTAAATGCACCAGCTGCTTGTATCCATTACCACTACCATTTTAGTTTTAAACTATCACGTGCAGACAGTTCAAAATTTCTCCAATTCACAGTCACAAAGGGCTAGGGGAATTATAATACAAAGTGTGAATCATCCAACAGAAATAATCTTCATGAAATTTCTTCAGTGTGCACTTGGCGTTTAAAGAGTGAAATACTGAGGGCAAAGGAAAGAAAAATCATTTTATGATCATAACAACAATACAAATTTCTTGGAAGATTCAATTCCCAGTGATGAATACAAGATCAATGAAATGCTAGTAGCACAAACCCACTTAAACATCCTAATAGTTCCAAGTAAATCAGCTCACAAATGATCCAGATAGACTGCAAGACTCACTTCCACCAAAAAATGAGAATATCTGTAGCAAAACTTTTGGACCGAAGACATTAAAATCTTTCCCCAAATCTGAAGAAAATGGCACCCGTTCCAGAGTTGTGATCAACAGCATACTCTGCTCGTACGAGTCCTAGCTTGACCCCAAGCCATAAGAAGAACCATGCCCCATTCTCCTGTAGACCTCCGTAGGGTTTCCCTTCACATCCTTCGAACTTCCCAAGTCATTTCCATGTTCCGCAAATGCATAGACATGGGTGTTTCTCACAGGAATCCTCAACTCAGCAGCAAGCTGCAACAAAAGCAATATTAATATTTAATGTAGAGATCATTAATACATATGGTCACAATAAAATTCTCAAATATCTAGGAAGTACTACCTCAAGGATATTCCGGGCTGCACCTATCTCTCCCATGTTGTAACCCCGTACTGAATAAGGGCCCCCAAGTGTAAAAGCATCATAACTTGGAAGGTCTCCCACACAACCACCATAATGGCCATGAAGAACCAGAACAGGCGGTGGAGGTTTACCAGCACCTTCCTCCACTTGCTTAAGTTGGATGAATTGGGTAACTGTTAGTTGGTGGCGGTTGAAAAATGGAAACTTGCTGCCAATGCCAAGGCCTTGGTCAAGCTGCAGATTGTAACATGAAGCATAGGGTCAACAAGTGGCAAATCTATGATATTCAATGAACTCAAGACAATATATTTTTCAACCAGAAAAAAAAAAAAAAGATTTTGCTTCAAATTGCTATACCAACATCGCTACCTGCTGTAGTGGAAAATTCCCAAATATTCAAAGAAAATTGTTATTTCTTCACAAAACCATGGACCCAGACTTGTGTGCAAAAGAAATATGGAGACATGTTGCAACAGAGGCATCATGTCAATAGACATAAAATTTTCCTTGTTTAATTACAATGTTTATTGAAACATCCAACAGTTCAATTAAGCCTACAAGGAATAATAGTGAACAATAACAAAAATTTTAGAAAGAGAAAGTATTTATTTGTGGGGGCAAAAGAAATTATCTGCACACAAAAAGCCGAAAAAAATTGGCCTGTGTCATATATATTAGTACTAAAGCTGTTTGAGCATAATAGAGAAACAGAGTTCTTGAGCACCATCTGAAACAGAGATTAGTTTTAGACTGCAAACTCCAGATCAACTTGCTAGCATGATGTCCACAAGTCAGTCACTAGGAAGTATATTGCAAGACCAGAAACAAAATACCCAGAAAAACAAGTCCTTCATGGACATCATATGGCTAACTAATCAATCCCATTTATGGGCTTATTACACCAAGGAACTTGGATGATAATTCATGCAATATAGCAAGATAAATGAAAACTTGCCTGGAACACATTCCTCTCACCAACTATTGTTCCATTTACAAATCTGGTGTTATCACGTGTAATATTGGCCTGACCAAATGCCATTCGATCAATACCGGTGCCACTGAGTGTTGTTGGAGGACCATCTGCACTAATTCCGCCACTAGGCAATACCCTTTGGCCATTAGGAGATATGTGACTGCTTTCATCACGTGCAGTTATCTCTTCCATGACAAGTCCGTAGGTGAATTTGCTTTGGCGAGTGAAGTTCTGCAAGGGAAATACCACTTACATATATTATGTATAAAATGAATAACCTATTTAGCCAGAAAGTATTACAACAAGTTGCATTCTACCTCAGTAATATTGGCTTTCACACCAGCACGATCAACCCATATAGGGGGGACTTCATCCACACCTGGTCCACCTGTGAAAACTGGACTCAGTTTCCTGCTGTTAAAGCAGCTTGCTTTAAAGGTGCGATTTCGAGGATTATATATGCCATCTAGATAGGGATGCACATATTCAAGCTTGAAAGAGAGATCATCCTGCAGAAAGAATCACCAAAAATGAGGATACAATGTCTTGCAGCAATAACACAGTGGAAATTGCAGACTGAGTTCAAAATAAAAATTACCTGAGGATTGAGAAAGTTACTAGTTGTGACTGAACCGAGAATAGACCTGTTCAAACCTTTGAGGTTTCTATGTTCAAAGGAAACAGTTCCTCCAGGCTGAATTGAAGCCTGACGAGCATAGTGCATAAAGGTAACACAGGTTAGAACAAATAATATTTAAAACCGAACCCTCACATCTTAATGAAATTAGAAGCATTCAACTCATATACCAGTGTAGGACCCCCTCCACGGCCAGGGACGATACTCCACTCTGTACTGACTTCAGCTGACTTCTGCTCCAGCTCTTTCAGCTTTATTTCCACAATAATTCCTCCCTCGTTCTTCTCATCAGGTCGTGGATTGACTTCAATATTAGAAAACAGAGCTAGCGAGTTTATATTCCTCAAAGCTTGTTTCCCTGCTTCAATGTTGAAAACATGTCCTTGCCGAAGCTGCAACGGCCAACAGTGTGTATATATTAGAAAAACAAATAAAGACCACCCACTAAATCTATATAGGGAATTCTGCTTAGGGAACTGATTAAATATCTATACAGTAACCCAAAAGGTAAAAGCCACATTAATTCCATTATATCGAAACAAACCCCCCCGCCGCCCCCCCCCCCCCCCCCCCAAAAAAAAAAAAGATCAATTAGCACAAATAATTGATCATTTAAACTTAAATGGGGTAAAGATTGGGGGAAAGGAAAGAAAATTGAATTACCTGTCTGGGCAATTCTCGCCTCACCACTCCAAGTTGGGTATTCCCCTCGCACACATTTCCAAGCTTATCCTGAAATTGAATTGCTAACTGAGTAATATCTCCTTCCACCACCTCGCAAACCACTTCCTTCGTATTCAAATTCCCAAAATTCACTACTTGTGCGCAAGCGTATCCCTCGTCCTGGTACCATTTCTGAACCCGGTCCCTAATCCTCTGCAACAACCGAGCACTCACCGTCCCCTGCTCCCTCAACATCTGCAGCACCTCTCTCTGCACCGCCATTGGCAATAAACACGGCCTCGACTTCTCAATCTCCTCCTGTAGTCCTTCTCCTGGCTCCTGAAATACTCCAATCTTTCCTTCTCCGTCATGTCAGGGTCCATTTCAATCGGCTTCGACTGCGGCATCAGACCCACATTGATGCATCTGAACCGCTCCGCCGATTGCCATGTACTCTCTAAAAACGATATCATGGCCCCAATTGTCCCATCTGATTGGTTTTTCCTTCGAGGTCGACCTTCTCGAACATCCCACAAGTCGCGAGCGTCTCGAGCTCCTTCTGGAGCTGGGTTTTGGTGTAAATGCCTCCCGTCGGAGAGAGACCATTTCAAAAAATGAGTCCTCCGTCCCCACGGTCGTCCCTCGCCGGCGATCGAAGAACAAGATATCAGAAACTTTGTACTTCTTAAACGCACTGAGCTTATTGAGCTGCACCACAATGTTGCCGGGAGGCCGTGAGAATCCCACTCCTGAGCCTGCGATTCGTCGTCCTTCGCGATCGCCGCGGGGGTGAATAATCTGAACCAGGAACCACCGTCTCCGCCGCCGCCTCCTCCACCTCCGCTGCCGCCAGTACCGCCCGGGCCATTTCCTATGAAAGAAGGAGAAGGGGAAGCTAGGTGCAGGACGATGCCCGTGGCTGCCGAAAACGCTAGGGTTTTGGTGACAGAGAGCAGAGGTTTAATAGCTGTGGGCTTAATGGGTTTAGGGTTTTGAAGGGGGGCGTGAGCAGGGAGGTCACATTTGACAGCGGCGCAGAATCCGCTAGCGGCAGTATTGGCGGAGGTGTTGTAAGCGGTGGCAGGAGCTAACTTGCGCCGGGAGGGGAGGGAATGAGCGAGATTGACAGCGGGGAGGTGGCCGGTGGCGGCCATTGGAGATAGGGAGCGGAGTCAAAAACAAAGAGTGGGGGAAGACGACGAAGGTTTTAATTTTTGTTGAGGGGCTGCCTGCGGAAGACTGTAAGATACATGTTTGGGCAATAGCACAATAAGTTCGAAGCACTAGATCGCCCCTTTTCAGAATGGCTTGGCCGTCTTTTATTTGTTGGGCAACCGAACCAACTCATTTAGCAATTTATCCAGAGGGTGTAAATTCGAATTAAATTTATTAATTTAGAATATTTAAGTGAACCAATTAAATCGTTTTGTTGATTATGATCTAAATAAATAAATTATTAAGTGAATATTCTATGTTACTATCACAATTGTGTCACAAAACATGTCAAAAATAATAAGAAATGAAGAATAAGTTATTAATATAGTGATATTACACATTGTATAAAATATATATTTTGAAAGATGATAATAATAATAGTTGGATTTTAAGAGACTCCTGTCAGAGTGGTACAAATCAAGTCAAAGACGGGAGATGGGCACCGTGATGATAAAGAATGACATGAATTTTATATTAAATAAAAAGAATTGAATTATAAGTGGTAGTGTTGGGTATTAAACGTTGCATGATAATATTGATGTACATATTTTTGTGACAATTGCATGATAATATTGGTGAGAAACTATTCAATTTGAGACTTGGTTATGAATGTATAATGTGATAATAATAAATCATGATTAATTATCTGCGCATAAACGAATTAATTAAACGAGACTTTCTTTTATGTATTTGTTCCTTTTTTTTTTTTTTTGTTAAACAACCATAGCGTGATGCAAGTCTACAATGGTGAAGCCTCTGTGACTGTGATAATTGCGTTCCAATTTCCTTAATGAATCGTTGAATCAATGGATGGTCATGATAACAGTTCCCTGCGGAGAAGGAAGTGATGCAAACATGAGATTAAAATTTCCTACTTTTTTCATACGGTGCATCTCAGGAAACGCATCAAAATCTGCCCACCAAATAACTTCTTCCGCTATCACGCCCCACTTCCAGAAAGTTGACGATTTCTTTTCCAGCAACGCTGAACTCTGGGCGACGGCGAATATCTTTCCGGCTCCGTTGATCCAAGCCTACTGCCTCAGTTACAGCTGCATGGGTCCGCGCAAACTCCTTATCTTCTTAATAAATTCATATCTTTATGCGCGAAATCGTCTCTTCTTGAAGTAGGTGTTCAATTTCATCCCACCGTTATCAAGATGGGTTTCGGTTCGAATGTGTATATCACCAGTGCTCTTGCCTATATGTATGGGAAATCCGGTGCCGTTTCAAGCGCACAACGAGTGTTTGATGAAACGCTTCACAGAAACGCAGTCACTTGGAATTCTTTGATGTCTGCTTATCTGCATAATCAATTACCGGAATTAGCAATTAAATTGTTTGTAGAGATGCTTAAGGAGGGAATATTTCCAACGGCAATTAGTTTTGTCAACTGTCCTGAGTGGTTGTGTGCAATTAGAGGCCAGAGAACTGGGTGCTCAGGTGCACAGTTTTTGTTTGAAAACTGGCTTCTGTTTTAATGTCGCTGTTGGGACGGGCTTAATTGGCATGTATTCAAAATTCTCAGCTATAGATGCTTCGAGGAAAGTCTTCAATGAAATGCCAGAAAAAAATATCTTTGCTTGGACTTCAATGGTAACCGGATATGGCCAGAGCCACCAAACCGACGAGGCAATGGTATTGGTTAGAGAAATGTTGCGTTTGGGTGTTAAGCCGAGTGAAGTAACTTATACTTGTCTGCTGAGTTCATTTCATTATCCGGATGATTCGGATTACTGCAGGCAAATTCATTGCCGATTAATTTATGAAGGTCTAGAGTCCGATATTTACTTGGCAGCTACACTAGCAACTGTATATTCAGAATGTAACACTAACTTGGAGGATTTCTATAGGATTTGCTCAAACATTACAATATGGGATCAGGTTTCATGGAATGCAGTTATTGCTGGTTTCTCTAACTTAGGAATTTGTGGGGAAGCTGTCTTGTGTTTCCGTGATATGAGGCAGGCAGGGATAGTTGTTGACTTCTTTACATTCACAAGTGTTCTCAAAGCAACGGGAACTTTATCAGACCTTGAAGTGGGAAGACAAGTTCATTGCCTGGTTATCAAGAGTGGATATGCATCAGACACGTATGTACAGAATGGGCTTATCTCCATGTATGCAAGGTGTGGTAGTATATCTAACGCGAAAGGGGTGTTTTTGTCAATGGATAAACAGGACGTGATTTCATGGAATTCACTGATTTCAGGATTTGCCCAACACGGGTATGGCAGAGAGGCTGTTGAAATGTTTGAAGAAATGAAAAGATCTGTGGTTAAACCAGATCTGATCACCTTCCTAGCCGTGCTTACTGCTTGCAGCCATGTAGGGTTGCTAAACAAGGACTTGAGTATTTTAATATGATGAAAAGCAATTTTTTCCCCCAACGACTTAAGTCAGAGCACTATGCTTGTGTTGTGGACCTCTATGGCCGAGCCGGGTATCTACATGAGGCAGAAGCCTTTATTGATAGCATGCCAATAGAGCCAGGCCCTTCAGTATTCAAAGCTCTTCTAAGTGCCTGTAAAGTTCATGGCAACACAGAAATTGCTGCGCGTGCTGCGAGGAAACTAGTGGAGCTCTCTCCTTATGATCCCGCCAGTTATGTACTGCTAGCTAGTATCTTCGCAAATGATGGTCATTGGATAATGCAGCTGGAGTACGAAAGCTTATGTGTTATAGAGGAGTGCAAAAGAAGCCTGGATCTAGCTGGGTTTGAGTTGAGATTTTGAAGATTGCTCCTGTTTTGACATAGGAGAGATTGGCCATACCTATTTTTTTCGATCAATGTCATATGGTGCTGATCTTTTAAGTGTTTGAGGGAATGGCTAAACATAATTTTTTGCAGAGTTTAGATTGACATTTGTTCCTAAAATTAATTTGTTTTGGGTGTTAAGAAGCAATTACCCAAAATGATAATGTAAATCACTTTGGTCTTCTATCTTTTCAATTGTAGAAATACATATCTTTGTTAAATTCTATTGAAATTCAAATTTTCTGCAGGATTATATATATATATATATATATATATAATTTGAGAAGATGTGGCACGACATTGTCTTAGCTTAACTGAGATAGAGCCAAAAAATGAAAAACACAAAAAGGAAGAAAAGAAGAAGAAGAAGCTTAACTGATCAAATGCATGTCTTCTGCCACTTAAAATAGATTGATAAAACTAGAAGCACTATTAAAGGCAATGAGCACAAAATTCTCTCTCTCCTCTACAGAGAAAATTCAGCAAGAAAGCAGTTGGTCCAGGACCAAGAGTTAATTTTTAGAAACAGAATCATTGGTGTGTGCATATATAGCAAATGAAGCCCACAGGCGCTTGGATGGTGCTCGCAAGACCAAAAATTGATGCTTGAAAATTGTTGCTTACTCTTATATCTCCCTCCAAATATAATTTCATAGGCTGAAATACTAAACCCTCTTGTAGATTGGCAATTTAGCATCAATGTCTCAACTGGAAGGCTTACCAAGGATCGATACCTCCACTTCTGTGACTCCCAAAACTCCCAAAGGCCGTTCCTCCCCTACCTTTGAACAGCTCCTCCAACTCCAAGGTAACTCCCTCTCGTTGCAAAAATTTTAGGGTCTTTTTAGATTTGTTTTCTGCTTTCTCTTCTCGGTTTATATTTTCTATGTTTTCAAAGACAGAAAAGAATGAAAACCTTGAAATTGTTTTCATTTTTTAGCAAACATAATTTCTGAGAATTGTGAAAAGGGCTATCGTTTTCTAAAAATAGAATTTTTCCAGAAGACAGTTTTCAAAAGTAACAAACCAAAATGGGTTTTTTTGTTTCCAAAAATAGCAACTATTTTTTCAAATTTTTAATTTTTCATGGCAGGAGATGGCTCGAGGTGGCTTTCAAGTACCTCTCCTACACAAATGAAAAGCCATGATCATGAAGAGTATTACGCTCAGCATCAGAAGAAATCAGTTCTCACCAAGGTTAAGGAGAAGGCCAAGAAGCTGAGGAACAGCCTGAGCAAGAAGAAGCACGGGCACGAGGATACCGGGTCACCCACATGGGGTATTACCTTGGAGGATGAAGATGAAGATGATGAAGATCCCGAGTATCTTGGCGCCCCAAGTGATACCAATGGCTTAGATTCTTTTATTTTATTTTTATAAAATTACAGAGCATTATATTTCAGTTTCTTTTTTTTTTTCTTTCAATGAAATTACAGGGAATTAAATTTATAATTAACAACTTTTGATATCTAGTTATAATATTAAAGTTAATAGAACATATTACAACGAATAGAATAAGTAAAATGGGATATTTATTACAAGTTATGTAATGTTGGAAGGATGAAAAGGGTAATATGTTAATAAGGTGGGGGCCAACATTGTCCAAAAGAAGTTATTTAAAGATCCAGTCTCTTATATATGGCATTGATCAGAGAATTCAAATTCATTTTCCAGTGTACGAGTCAGAGCTGGCACCAGAGACCTACAGGGAAACTGCGAGGCAGCATCCTCGGCAATCCCTGTGGTGTCCGAGAAGCATGTTTTGCCAGGCACTGTCAAGCAAGAACCTGAAAAGGAAAAAGATGAGCAGCCCATTAGTGCCAATAAGACAATCACTGAGACCGTGTCTGAGAAGCTTGCACCTGCCTATACTGCCGTTTCTGATGCAACTCAAGCAATTGCTTCAAAAATTGCAGGTAGGGGTGGCCATTTGTGTCTGTTAGATGTATTCGTGTAATAACTTATGTGGGATTCATGTTCATTCTCTCAAACTGAAACTATAAACAATTCATTCACACTAGAAACAAGGTAAATTATGTCAAACGTATTTCTATTATATTGCGGCATGTCATGTTAGTGTTTCTTTCAGTAAAATTCGTGTCACGGGAATATGTCATGACTCATATTGCCACTTTGCAGGTCTGACGGTTCAAATTCCCTCTGACACAGACAGTTCAATGTGTGTTGGAAGTGGAACATAGAAAGTGGGAGGAGATTCTGAGACCAGAGAGGCCAATGTGATAGTGGTGTCAGTGGAAACCAAGCATGGGATAAGGGCGTTTCAGTGAAGGAGTACTTGATGCAGAAGTTTGAGCCTGGGGAAGATGAAAGGGCGCTGTCTGAGGCAATTACAAAGGCAATTAGTCCAAGAAAAAGCTCTGGTGAAATGGGAATGGTGGAAAAGGTGAGAGATGCAGTCACTTTGTTGCTTCGCCACAAAGAAGCCCCACAATCAACGACCACAGTTGTGAATTCATCATCACCGTCCCTGCCCATTTCCCATAACCCACATCAAGGTAATTCTGTCCTCTTCTTTTTTCATCTTTTATTTGTCTGGTAGTTTGATCATTCTTTGCCTAGAGAGATTTCCATTGTTAATCTGCAGCTATTGAAGAAGAAAGCCGTGGAAGAATACTGCAAATGAACTGAAAGTGATGGGATATCCCTGCAACTTCAAGTGCCAATGAAGTAGCAGTTGGAAGATTTGGTAACAGTGCTTGATTGATCTAGAAACTAATTAATATGGTCTTCTAGGTGATCATCACCAAAAGCTGTAAATTTTTTCTTTGTTTTAGCTACAGTTCTGGATAGATTATATATCAACAGTGAACTGTTCTCACAGTTTCACAAGAGATCAGAAGTTTTTCACAAATTATTTGAATCAAGTGTGTAAGATTAAAGACATAGGTTAAGGACAGGTTTTATATACCGTTGCCTCTTTTTTTTTTTCTTATTCTGATGACGGCTCCCAATTTCCGAGGAGGTCTAGCCATTGTTGTTGATGAATTTTGTGAAAGACTAAATACAATCATGCATTCCATTTGTACATATGTATGCCATGTTCTTTCTTACCCTGTCGGTGGGTTTTTTTTTTTTTTTTGGTATCTAGCTGATTTCTCATTTGAGGAAGGATGATTGATTGCAGAAACTTTTCTTTTTTTCTTTTTTTTTTTTGTACTTTTTGTTCTTTTCGTGCTCCAGAAAAGAGATTGAAGAAACTTTCTATAAGACATTAAAACATACTCAAACAGCGCTTACACTTCTGTAGTCATGAAAACAAAGGTAGTCATGCCTCTAAAGCACATGTTTTTCAGAAAAAAAAAAAAAAAAAAAA